TCCAAGTGGTTGCTCGAGCGGGCTGTAATAGCCTGCAAAACTACTGGATGCACGAAAATGTCCACTCGAGCAGCAAATCCCTCGCTCGAGCGACCTTCAAAAATTATGGGTTTCCAAAACAGGGTTTTGAGCTTCCAAATGCAAATTCAATGGTAAATTTGTGTATGGCTTGTTCAAAACACTTGGGAAACTTTTCTAAAACACAAATATATGATCATTTACAAACCCTTAGCTCAAAACTCATGGATTTAGCTAAAATTGAGTTCAAAACTCCCATGCATGTATGTTTCATAAACTCTTTTCCTCAAAGTCCATATTCATAGTAAAATTGAGCTTCAGGACTTCAACATGTATACAAAACTCTTTCTCAAAACATGATTTAAAAGGTAATAAGTGATGATTCAGACATGCATGAGCCAATTATTCATAATTTCTACATGAAGGATCAAAATTAAACTTGATATGGCAAAACCCAGCATGAATGTAAACTTTTTTCCAAAACTCATCAAACATGGAATTTACTTACAAAACTTGATCTAATATGCATGCATGTTAATTCCATGGCGTAAACTCACCATGAATGACAAAGTTTATGATCAAAATGATGATTTACTACTCATATATGCATGCATGCGTGAATTGTAACTCAAATCTTCATTCTAAACTCAATATACACATTTAAACTCACAATCTTGATGAAATCTCATGTTAGATGACTTAGATTCATAATTTAGAGATTTCATTCTTACCTAGAGTCTTCAAATTCTCTTGTCCTTACACAAACTTGGTGAACTCAACATAAAACCTTCAATTCCTCTTCAATCTCTTAATTTCTCTCTCTAGAATTATACACACACTCTCTCGCTCTCTCTCTAGGATGTATGAACTCATATTTTGGCACCAAGAAATGAGAGAATTGAGCTCAAGAATGAGCTTAAGGGCCACTTATATAGTTATGATGCCATAATACATTAATTAGAACATTTGGCCAACCAAACACAACTTAATTAATCAGACTGAATCAATTTTTAATAAAATTTGCCATATGGTTCTAAAAATTCCGAATAACATATTCATGTAACTAATTTTGATTTCGGATGCCGATAAGGCTTTCAATTTTCATATTAAAGCGGAATTCCAAACAGATATTTCTACAAATAACAGATAGAAAGCCAAAGATCATGCAAAATACATAATAAACCCATAATTTATTTTATCCACTTAATTAATATCCTTAACTACGGATTAGTGGCTAATTGCGGATCGGGGTTGTTACAGTGGTTGAATTTGACATTTTAATATATTTGTTTTTTCATGTGGTTGGATTAGTTTCATCTAAAGGAACTTATAATGGAGTTTGTTAACATGAAGGTTTTGAGTAGAATTATAGTCTAAAAGATAGTAAACATTACTTTTCTTAACATGAAAGTGAAATTTTTACTCCCATTCAGAGTAAAATTTTATTATATTTCAGAGTAAAATTTACTTTGAATTGAAAGTAAAATCTTACTATGTTGGAGTTTGTTTAATAGAAGTGAAATTCTAGTATAAAAGATAGTAAAACATTTGTTTTCCTAACATAAAAGTAAAATTTTACTTTATTTCAGAGTAAAATTTACTCTAAATTGAAAGTAAAATTTTACGGTGTTATTGAATGTTTGCCTTTGTTTTCTGAACTGAGAGTAAGTAAAATTATAGTTTAAAAGATAGTAAACATTACTTTTCTTAATACGAAAGTAAAATTTTACTCCCATTTAGAGTAAAATTTGACTTTATTTCAGAGTAAAATTTACTCTGAATCAAAAGTAAAATTTTGATGTGTTGCTGAATGTTTGTCTATGCAAGTTTTTGATTTGTTTTTTGAATTGAAAGTAAAATTGTACTCCATTGCAAAGTAAAATTGTACTTTAAAGTATGTGAGTGTTATAGGAAAATATTTTTAACCTGTACCAAAATTTACAATAATACACAAAGTCCTTACTGCTTATAACGCAATATTTGTGCAAAAATAATATAACACCACAATTAAATATATTATCAAGAGACACAAAATATATACTGTGTAATTGTATTTTATCCATAATAACGTTTTATAACAATATTTCATCCTAATCCATAATAATTATAACATGTATCATTGTTACTCTTTTAGCATTCTTTAACCTATAATTATTCTTTCAGCATTCTTTCATTTACAAAAAATCAAATGACATTCATCATTCACATCAGATACAAAAAAATAGTTCCCAAAAGTCATTTACATTGTCATCCTTGAGAACTTATTACTTAGCTATTTTTCTTTTGAGGTTGAACTGTTTCTCACTCTATGCTTTTGGAGAATCATTCAAAAATTAATGCACTATTGATGCTTGAAAATTGTTAATTTCATCATCTTTCATAGACTTTGCAACATGCTCATTTCTCATGATTTGACGCATGATATAATATACAATAATTCCGTAATCAACACTATTGATAGAAATCAAACTCTTGTTAGATTTACTCAAATTTGAAAACTACCAATTCAAGCATACAGTAGCATGAAATACTTACGATGTTGGGCGCTATCATGAACTATCTTTCACCGAAACCAAGTTTGCAAACTTTCTTGTAACTCTCTTCATTTCTCACAAACATTGTAATAAAACAATAAATTTTCCAATCACTCAAACTCAATACAAATTCGTAAACCCCATCCCCTCTATCAATCACAACACCATTAATCATAACACTATTTAGACACCATGTGACAGTACCCCAGATCAACCAATAACTTCTTGGAAAAGAGAAAACACCAAACACACTTCATAGCTTCCCTTTTCATTTTCTCTTCTCTAATAAAAAAATTGAAACAGATTGTTCACAAACACAATGTGAAATCAGAGGATGGAAAAAATAATCAATACTTAATTATTAACTAGAATCAAAGACCCTCTGAATTTGCAAGTATGAAATGTTGACATGGTTACTTTGCCCATTTTTTAAACTACAAATTGGCTTTCTATTTCTTTTTGGACTCTCAACAAACACCTATAATGCCTTGATAAAACAAAACCCACAAACAAAAAATAAGAGATGAGTGAAGGAATCAACTTTTAAAAAAATTAAACAAAAAAAAATCCCCCCTTTAAAAAAAAAAAAACTATTTAAATGGTGATTGCAACATATATATATATACATAGAGATGATCAGAAAAAGGACATACATAGATTGACATTTCTTTTCTTTTTTTTTTGGATTGGTTTTTGGATTTTTTTGAAAATTGAAGAAACATCAATAATCAAGCAATTTCTCACAAATTTCAAACAATCTAAAACAAAGCAAAAAAAGAATCTCAACTAATTTCAAGAAGACAATTCAAAAAAATAAATATCTGGAAGCGATTTGAAGTTGCTTGATTATTTTCCTCTGCTTGGTCTTCTTCAAGGGGTTATGAGATGAATTTGAATCATGATTTGAAATCCATCTTCATCAGAATCACGATTTGAATCACATTTGTAAGATGGATTTCAAGGGACGATTTCAAGGTATCGATTTTGTGAGATGGATCGAAGATAGAGATTGAAAGGGTTTAGAAGAGAGAAAATAAAAGAAAGAGAGAGGATGTCAGTAATGTGGAGATAAAAAAGAAGAGAAATGGCTCAACGAGGGTTTCGGATTATATGGAAGGGTATTTTAATCTTTTCATAATATTTTTTTTTTTTAATTTGAGGGACTTTTAAGACAATTATTTTATTTCGTGTCCTTCACACAAAACCACCCCTAGAAGGGACTTTTCACCAAAAATCCCATATATATATATATGGTAGGATATATAGTAGAATTTCCCATATTATATTTAGAGTGCTGTTATTAGCACCCTATCAATTATTTTGAACTTCTAATTTTTTAATTTTTTTATTACAATAATAACCTCAAATGAAATTACTAAAAAGGACATCAAAAATTTTAGAATATCACATCTCACAATTAAATTCACACCCACTACATCATGAGTTAGGGTTTATGAGATCACCCACCTCTATCATCACTCATCTATCTTCTCCAATTCTCACATTCAAAACCTACCTACCCTAAAAACCTTGAAAACCCTTTGGCGGCAATATTCCGGTGGCAACTATTTGATTGCATACACTTCTCTGGCAATGATAATGAGTGAAAGTTTTTTCGGCAATTACAACTCCATAAGACGAGGAGTATAACAACAAAAGCTCAAAAGAAATTCATAACTTTGATGGTATTCTTAGCTCAGATGAGATTGACCTTGTAAAGATAAGTTTCTTAAAAAAAATAACAAAATAATAAAAACTGTTCGTTATTTTTTCGGGACTGAACTCCCAAATATATGACTGAAATTCAGGAACATAAGTCTGAACATTGTTTGTTTGTTCAGGAATAGGTAACCGAACATTTCTTATTTGTTTGGGAACAGATAATCAAAGCAGCAACAAAAGCAGACAAACAAAAGAGGTCGAACCACTGTTGGATGGTGAACCGGTCGGTTGATCGGGAGGTGAAATCCTGACTAGTTTAGCTCAGAGAGAGTATACAAGTACAGTGAGGGCATGGATAAATCATAGAAAACCAACTAGAAAAGCATGAAAGTGGATTGTGTTGTGTGTGCGAAAAGAGGTAATAGAAAAAAAAAATCAAACAGATTGACAAATTTAGGCTAGGTTTGGCATAACCTATATAATCCATATTTTTATCTTTTTTTCATCACATCACTTCTCTATTTTTCTGTATATCTTTTCATAAAAAGACAAAAAGTACACTTTTTTAGGACACCCCAAACCAACCCTTAGTAATGAAGTAGAGAAAAAACTCCTTAATCACCACAAATTTTTTTATTGGTTTTGGGAGGTTTCATTGCCGTGGGTTTTGTAAAGGTTTTAGAAGAGAGACTTTTTGATGTGTGGAAGTGTGAATTTGAATAGATGAAATGTTTTTATAAGGGTAATTTTAATATTATTTAGGAGGAGAAAAAAAATTTAAGAATTTAAAAATTTAAAAATGAGGATCGAAAAAATAAAAGATTCAAAATAATAGCACTCTATATTTATTTTAATTTCCTTAAAAGCACCCAAATCGCCTGTTTTCCATCGCCATACTTCCCGAGGAGGAGAGAGAGAGAAGCAAAGAGGAGGACACCGGCGAGAATACGATGTCGTTTTGTGGCCTATCAACTCCGCAGTCTATGCCTCTCTTCTCCAAACCCTTTCATGCCCACAGACCTCCTCCTCCTCTGACCTCTCGCTTCAGAGCTTCTGCTGACGTTCCTGACTTTCTCTCTGCCGATTGGTTAGCCCCTTCTCTCTCTCTCTCTCTCTCTCTCTCTCCATATTTGTTTTTATATAGCATTCCGAACAGATGACTTTCATTCATCAATTTTGATTATTGTTATTGTCATTAATATTTTTTTACTTAATCATGTTATATGTTATTTGATTTAGTTTCATATGTGCTTGTACTGCTTTTGAGGGTTTGATAATAATTTCACTAACAGCATGTTTTGTGGCTTGGAATTCATGCACATATATATATATATATATATATTTGTGGGTACATGGGTAGGGAGTGTTGCATATGGTAAGGGGTACAATTTGGGCAAGTTCAGTTGGTTTGGAGGTACCCATAAGGCTGGGAAAATCTGCTGAAGCTCGAATTATGGCCTTAACATCACTACTTTTTAGCTTAAAAGTTAAAAAAATCATTTAAAAAATCAAAAAGCTAACAACTTAAACTTATACTAAAAAGTCAAGATTCAATTTTCTCTTTATTTTTTACATATCTTTTTATAAAAAATCAAAAAATCATCCCAAACATATTAATTTTTTTACATAATATTTTAGTCAAAAAATTAAAAAATTACTAAAAAAATCTACTCCCAAACGAGGCCTTAAGCTTAACCTAATGAATTTGGGTTAGGCTCGGGTTGATTGAATAAAATAAGAGACTCAATGATGGGGATCAAGAAAGGAAAAGGGTTAGGACATTTTTTGAGGCGCCAATTGACAGCTTTGAATTTTTAGGATTTGTTTATATTTTCAAGCATTTATCTTTTTGTTGCCTTATTTTTTATATTATTTGGGTTGGAACATATATGGGATTATATAAGGAAACTGTGTTAGAGGCAGGGTCCTTTGGGCTCATCCCAGGAGTGAAAATCCGAGGATCAACCGACACCCTCTAATTGCATGATCTAGGCAACTGGAGGGGCCGACAAGAGTCGAACCTGAGTTGGGTATGTGGGGAGCATACCCACTGACCAATTAGGCTACCCCCTCAGGGGTAAGCTTCGATTCAAACTCACAGGGTATGTTTGGTTTGGATTTCTAGAGTGATTTTGGGAATTTTTTTTTTAAAAATTTGTTTGGTTTGTAAATTTTTTAAAACAATTTTCAAAATCACTTTCTCTCTCTTACCTATCAATCAATCAATCACTTTTTTTCTTTCATCTCTCTTTCTCAATCACTTTTTCTCTCACACGCATCTAATACGCATCTACTCAATTATAACAAAATATCAAATCATTCCAAACTCCCAAATTCCAAAACTATTTTCAAAATACATAACTAAACAACTCAAAAAAATTTATAAACTCTCTCCCCAAAACAATTTTTAAAAACTACTCTTCCAAAACCAAACCAAACATACCCATAATCTTCAATAGTATAACATTAAATGGGTTGGTAACGAACAATGTTGATCACCAGGTAATCGGAGTAACTTATGCAACTTACACATGAGAAATCATGGTTGCTCATTCCTTTCAGTCAAGCTCACTTTTTGGAGTGACAATTAGGGCCCCACTCAGAACCTACAAATAATCAGTCAAACAAATGGACGAATTCTAAGGCATTCATCTCTGTCAAGTTTTTAATCTTTGCTAAAGCATATTCTATAGTTTTCTAACCACATCTATTCACAGTTTTGCTCTGCTTATTGCGTTAATACATCTTAAAGTTTGATTGGATCACCTGTCCTAGGCTCATAGCCTATCCAATTAATTGTCTACTTTGTGTGTGATTAAGCTTTTCCAGATTATGTTCCTTTATCTTTTTCTTAACTACTGCTACCTTAAGCTTCTCACCACTGCATTCGTGAGGTGTGAGTAACAGTTTCCCAAAAACACTCCTCGTTAGTTGGGTATCATACTAGCTGTATGAAAGGAATTGGATAATTCAATCTATCCTTGAATTATAGAAAGGACGTACAGGGACATATAAGTGGGCTAGGCAACTGGCTGTGCCTTGGGTTTACCTTTGTGTTGAGTATGACTTGATAGTTCTTACAGGTCAGTTTCAGATTAAAGGTTTTCTCTCTTCTGAAACATTCAGCTTTATTCCAAACTTTACCCAATCCAACCTCTATCTATATCTCTGCTTAAAATGGATTGCAAATCACTGTCTTTTGTACTAATTAGTGATATATATATATATTTTTTTGTAGGCTTGAATCTCGTAGGAAGAGACCTTTTGGACCAAGATTAAATGTAATTTTCTAACTGAAAGATTGATCCACAGTATTGGAATTTCTTCATTCTTTTATGTCAATCTACTATACTCTCGTGTTGTAGTTTAGTGCAGAAGAAGCTGTCCAATGCCAACTTGATGCATTGATGTTCAATGACCAACCCCGTCCAGATTATGGGATCGAAGTCATGTACAGGGTAATTTATAACCTCAAAATCTATGGTGCTTTTTTTAACTGGTTTTATAGCATGTGAAGAGGAGGCGTGGTTTTGTTTCTGGTTATGCAGTTTGCTGGATTTGATCCTTTTGAAAGGTCAACCTATTTTGGGCCATTCTTTGACTTGGGGCAGGTCAGTAAATTTTGAATATGGACCATGGTGGACAAGATGTTGCAATCCAATTTTTTTTTCTTGACATAAACTGTTGTGTTTTCTATTGTTGGCATCTCTACTGTTCATGAAGTTTGAAAGATTCAGGCGGATTTTCCACCATTCGACCTATCGAGTGTTGCTTGGACACAGGGAAAGGAAGATCTTGAGCAGTTTGCTGGTGGAGGAGGTAAAATACTTGTGATTTGTAGGGAGATCTGGTTGATGTTTAATTACTGTCATTAGAAGAAAAACTCATGATTCATTTCTAACAGGAACTATATTTTTATGAAATGTGGCACAGAATCAATATAAGCAGCGGGTTTGGATAAGAGGAGCTCGCCCTGAGGAAGAAGAAATATTTCAATTTACCATGGTTCAGGTTTGCCCATTGCTCCTTTTTATGTCTAATCGTTGTTTGTGTAATGAATAACAATTCCATTTATGTTTGCTTGTGAGGCACATAACCTTTTGGGCTTCTCGATTCACTCATATATCTAAGAGGAACCTGTAAGCTAGACCATTCCTATTTATCACCTTCCCCCCCCCCAAAAAAAAAGTCCATACATGAATAAATTAATTGTACACGTGTGCGCACACACAAATAAATGCATATATGTGAATGTAAGGATATGCACTTACATAACTTAGAAAACAATTTTTTTTCGGATCAATGTATAACGAGATTGAATCAAAGAGTCACCCACTTGGATACTGTAGGATCTGTAACGAACAGAGTTGAAATTATCGTTACTGGAAATGATGGCATTGGTTGAAAATTGTAATCTTGGTGGGTTTAAGCTATTGAGTTTTTGTGTATTTGACCAATGTTTTCACTTTTTAGTCATGAGATTGCAATGCTATTTGAACCTCCCCTTTATTTGAATACCTAACAATGGATTAAAGTGGTTTGCAGCTCCAGCTCGAATTCTATGATCTGGGAAAGTTGGTTGTGTATTCTATAGGTCTAGCCTACTCATCAATCTAATTAGATTTAGGACAGCAATTGCATGGTTTGGATGTGAATAAATATACATGAAAAATTCCTGATGTGGATAGTACACGGTGAGTGGGCTGGTTATGGAGCTCTGTGGGAAGTTATGGTTGGCAATGAGCTGGCTAATGAACTACCACGAGACCACCAGAGGTGGGAGGGGATGAAAGTTGAGATGATCTTAGATAGAGAGAGAGATTGAGTGGCAGTGGAGCTTCTAAGCTTGTTGGAGAACATTACTGATTCGTTGCATGCATGGAGGTGGCGTCCTCCTCCTTATAAAGACTTGGAGGCTAGCTGACCTGTGTATATTGTCACATGCTCAGGGCCATGGCTTATCCTCTTTTTCACAACAATTTGGAAGTTACAACTAACAGCAACGTCAAAATAATTTTCAATGCCTGCAACGATGGTTAGGTGTGCCCAAAGTACAGAGGAGTCCGTAGCACATCACACCTTTTGGGTTCCAATTAAAGTTTGGAATTGTCTTCTTGTGTAGATCTCTCTTTGAGATGAATTCATCAAGGGAGAATGTGATGAGCCACCTTGATGAAAGCTCACCTCTAGCCACCAATTACAAGAACCCTAGTAATTTTATGTGGGGTTATGGAGTCGCTTGGGTATCCATGATCACTAACTCCGAGGGGGTTGCTAGCCCCTATTCACAACCTAGGCTAGCATGATAGCATCAAGGTGTATTTTGGAGAACAAGTGTAGATTATAGGAGATACGTGCTCTATCGGGGGATTGCTTGGCCAAGCTGAGGGGAATCAAGTGCGCCAAGCAAAGGGGAATCGAGTGCGTGCATGCTCGGTCCATGAGTGAGCATGCCTGAAAACAGTAGACCTTGGAGGGACGAGCATAGAAAGTGACACGCACGTGTGGAGAATTACTAACTGAGCCAGGAGTGTCAAGTGTCTCATTTCAAGTGGAGAGAGCGAAGTGCTTGCATAGAGGTTTGTTCGGCCTAGCTGGGGGGTGCCTCGATCATACCCATTTGAGTGGATTAGAAGATGGCTAGCTGGTGTCCATCAATGCCTAGGCTCAAGGCTAGGGCACAACAACGTATGCTATCCTTGGCTGACATGGTTCAACCCCTGAAGGGAGCATGTGGAGATGTATTATTGGTCCACGTGTCACCTCACGATGCTCACACTTGGATCTAAGCCCATTGGAGATGATGTCATGATGAACACGTGACGTGCTAGATATATGTGAGCTTTTTGCAAGTGAGCCATGCTTTGATTTTTTGAATATTAGAGGTGGGCACACGCTACTTGTGTGCAATTTGTAATTGGATCTGATAATTATGGCAATTATTTGAAGCAGTTGGAGAGAATTGAAGCAGTAGTTATCATGTTTTGGGGGCAATTTTGAAAAGGCTAAAATATAAATAGAAAAGTGAAAAGGAAAGCCTTCATATATAAGAGTGCCATGCTCACACCCATATCTCAATTGGACTTAAAATGTGCACCCCTCGCTCTTTAAGGGATAGGAGGTATTACTAAAGCTAAAAGTTTAGTGGTGAAGAAGTTGGAACTCGTTTAGAAATTCATTGTTCTTATGCATTAGTTTGTTAGTTCTTCAATTGATTGTGGATTCAAATTGTTCACATGCACAGTATTAATGTACTATTCCCTTGTTACGCATTACTTTAATTAACTCTGGATTCAAATTGGCAGAGGGTTGGGGGTTCATGGGATGGTTATTGGCTGACAGAGTCTCTACTTCACGATGGTGATAGTTTTTCTGGTGGTGTGGCTTACTGAACCAGTCAATCTGGTCTTCAGATGGTGGGCAATGAATTACTAATGGCTTTTTGTTGAAGCATTGACATTGCTTCTCCTTACCTTCAGATTCTGTACATATATGTAATAAAATGCAAATTGTTGTAATGTTCATAGACGAGGCTAGTATATATATATACATGTACATACTAACTTGTCATATTGAACTCCTATGCTTTTGAACAGTATGCACATCTTTGTAAATGTTTTCCTTCCATTCATTCTTGGCTCTCTGTGGGTGCATCCAATGGCTGACCCCGCCTATCTCAAATTCCTCTTCCCATTGTAGTATTGCACTATTCTAAGGTCCTCTTTTAACTGTACAATATTAATGTTCATCTGCATGGAATTATGCCTTTCTTTATTGTGTGTTCTTACTGGTGTTTTAGTTTGTACAAAATGGCTTGGGTTTGTTTGGGAAGTGACTTTTGTTTTCCTTTTTCTTTTTTTAAAAAAAAAAAAATTAGGCAAAAAAAAAAAAAAAAAGAACAAAAAACTGAAGTGTTTGGGAATATTTTTTTTAGAAAAACATGCAAAAAATAAATAGAATTGGAAGGAATATTTGACTTAGATTTTTTTGTATGATTTTAGCTTTTTGACATTTTTAATGGCTTTTTGGTGACTTCAATTTTTTTAGTGACTTCGACTATTGCCAAACGAGCCCGTCAGATAGGTTCTCTCCTTTGATGTCAATGTTAGTGTACTTACAACTGAATGGAATCCGTATAACAAATTGAACTCATTTTTAGCAAATTCTTGCGCGGATTTTTGACAATTGTGCAGCTTCAATTTGCATTTCGATGGTTGATTTTGAAAGGGATTTACAGTTGTATGTAGGAAGGATTTTTTTTTAACAAATCACATCACATCTTTCAATGAATCCACACTGAATTGGCATAGCTTTCGTATGAGAAAATCATCTCTAGACTCCCTGGAAATGTCAATCCAAGGACTAGACAAAACTTACAGCTTTCCAGGCCATTTCTGCATCAACGAGGCAGAGTTCAATTAGCATAGCAGTAGTGGTCATAAGCCTGTGTGGGAGAAACAAAATCTAATCAAATTCAGGCTCTATTTTGCAAGTGATTAAAATAGTCAAAAACTAAAAAACCACCTTATATTTTAGCAAAACAACCACTAAAAAAATCACTTCCTAAACAAACCTCGGCACATCCACAGCAAGAAAAAAATATCAGTTAATATGCAACTACTTCGACAAAACCACTTACAGACAGTTGACAAATGTGAAAATTGGGTTACACCAGGGAACTCCTTTAAATAGTTCTATAAAACAAATTACAAAACTGTTTCTTGAACAAAAGAGATTCAATAGCAAAGGCATTCATCAATTGAACAGAAAAGCATGAGAAATGAAAATGGTCAATATCTCATGCTCGCTTCTGGCATATGATGCTAGACTCCCCAAGTTTAATCGACGCAAGGCGAACGAAGCTCAAAACAAAGAAAAATAATGATCCTATTGAGCATGTAGTAGGGAACCGAGCTTTAAATGTGTTATTTCTTTGCTTGATCGATCAACTTGGTAACGACATAGCAATCTGGTGGGGTAATGTTTGTGTAATAGTTTTGGATGGTGTCTGTGATTTCAAACCCAAATTTCTTATAAAAACTGATGGCATCTTCATTGTTCGTCTGCACATGCAAGTATATCTCACCAATGTTTTGCTTCGAGCAAAGATCAAGGACATGATTCAACAGTTTTGTACCTGCAACCAATTCCAAAATACTAATCTAAGAATAGTTCTTTGGTTCTGGTCTCACAATTGAAAACCAATGTTTGATGGAATTTCAAAAAAGTAAATTTAGACCGTACCGCTAGATAAGTCGCAAAATCTAGAAGACTTGTAGGCAAAAATAATCTCACATAGCACTCTTTATGTGTGCAAAAAAAGAGAAAAAGAAACATGGTTTATCCATTTGGAATGGGAAAAATAATAGGTGCTCTCTAGGAGCCCCTCCTAGACCAATCACACAGCCCCTTGCTATGAAAATTTTGCTCTTGGAGCAGGATTACGTGGTGCTCCTAGAGCCCTCACAACCAATCATAAATGCCCCACCCCTGCTGGTGGGCTTGACACAACACATGCTTCGTTTGTTTTGGCAAAACCTTTTTACAAAAACTTTTTCCATAAAATGTTTTCTAAACACTTTCCTATGTTTGGATGCAACTATGAGGCTTATGTGCTAGTCATCGTATTGGTGGTGGTGGTGAGGCAGCAGTGTTTGTGGTGATGGTGGGTGGTAGACATCATGACGGGATTGGTGGAGGCGGCAGCAGCGGTAGCGATGGTGGTAGTGTGGTGATATTAGTAAGATTTTGATATGAAAAACGTTTTCCACTTTATAAAAGTAAAAATTATTTTCTACCTAAATAAGCTTGTTTTCTGGACTTCTGTTTTCCATTGTACTAAACACCAAAAAATGAGAACACTTTCTAAAAAATATTGCTGCTGAAACAAACAAAGTGACAGTGGCATCACCACCAAGAAGGGTGGCTGTATATGATTGAATGCGGGTCCTGGAGCACAATGTGTCTTTGCTCAAGGAACACCCAAACACCCAATAATCTCTCCCCTCTTAGTTGGGGTCACTACCAACCAACACAGAACGATGGGGCCCACTAGCATGGGGGTTGTGATTGGTCTAGGTAGCTCCAAGAGCGCCCAATAACTTCTCTTGGAACAATGATATTCAAACAGCAGTTCTTTTAAGGTTTTCTAAGCAATTCCCATAGAAGAGACGAAGCAGAGGAGGGAAAGAAACATATTCACTTACCAATACCTAGCCCACGATATGGTGCCAAAACACCCAATGTCATGATGTATACACGGACAGCCCCACTTTCCTTCTTTTCAAGCCGACATGCAATTGCACCGACACAAATGTCACTGTAGTACGCTGAGCATAGGGAGGAAAAGAATTAAAACTTGAGAAGAGATATCTGAATGTTCAGGGCTATGAAACTCCAACACATCCTGGGCATTGGACATGGAAAATCCCCACTCCAAGATGTAAACAAGCATTACAAGTTTGTCATTGTAAACAGATATTACCACATTACTATGAAAAAGACAACATAATACTACACCCTATATATAGCAAGTACCAGGTCTCAAAGTGTTTTATTCTAATCAAAGAGAACACTTGGACTGTAGAATGTATCATGAATCACGAAGAAAATTATGGTTTTGGAACAGATTTTGCTCAGATTCAGATATTCTTCACGAGAATAGTGGCAATAATCAAAGTCACTAAATAATAATATGAGATTCTTGATCCATTAATATCAGGGTATTCATTTCAGAAAATCTGAAAAATTAATCACTTGTCTCTAATAAGAGGTCTACATAAGATTCTTCTAGAAAACACTACATGGCATTATCTCCATTAAGCAAGTGGTTTAGAAAACTCCTAACACATTTTTCTGCCCAATAAACCATGAAAGTGCAATGAGTGGTCAAGATCACTGTATGAGATTATAAGGAGTATCTGTCAATGAGTAATGATCAATTACAAAATTTGTGAATGTTAAAAGATAAGGAAAACTTGGTCTAAAAGTACCTTTGAGGTGACTGACGTACTGGAATGAACCGTACAGAAAATACAAGACCATAGCAGCCACTCTACCTCAGACAGAGAAACAGGGTCTCTATGATACCATTATGCTGCCACATAACTGAGTATCAACTGATTTTTATAAAATTGCCATTCACACCCTGGAGACAGGAAACTGCCCCCTATGCAAGGCCAACAAATGCAGTATGTACCTTGTTCTCAGAATTAGACACCAAGGCCATAACAGAGGTGGTCTTGCGGACAGACCTGTATCACCTCAACCAACCCCTCAATCAAAGTTGTCCCTGAACACACAAGACATGATGCATTAATGCCAATTTGGGTGAAAAGCAAGGGGCAGAGAGTTCAAGTACAGCACGCATCTGCATGATCTGGGTGATTGTTTGGCAGACCTTGGAATCCTCGGGTTCCATGGTTAAGTAGATAGGCCCTGTTTCGTGCAGCTTATGGTGCTACTGCTTATAACTTTTTTATTTCAGAAAAATGTGTCAGCGTTTGGTGCAGCTTCGGCTTACAACTTATGGGGTTGAAATAACTTATGTATAAGTTGAAAAAAACTGATCATTAGAAAAGTAGGAAATGAGTGCTTTTAACTTCTCCTTTTTTATTATTAGATTTCAGCTTGCAAGAAGTTGCACCAAATGGGCCCATAGTGATGCAGGGCTGCAGGTTGCGACTTGGCAATCCTAGAGAGGGAGAAGAGAGATCTTTAGTGTCTTGCGCTCGTCATCCACAATGACTGAATCTGTAGAACACCTGACATAGTTGCCTTTGGCACCAGAGGTGGCTAGTTACATCTGTCATGTGTGCCTGGTTTACTATTTGTCACTGCACACCTAGACTACATATCCTGGTCAATTTTGCCTACTTGGCCCACTGTTACTGGTCACTGTAGATGTGATTCCTATTTTTGCAGGACAATCTGCCTCTTTGGGCAAAAAGTCAGCTTGACTATGAGTGCCTCCAAAGCTGTCTTGGTGCCTCGTGTATTGAAAAGCTTGCCAATCAGCACTTTGGGCATAAAGTCGGCCTCGACTTCCGAAGCTGCTCCTTGGTGTGACTCTTGGATTGAAATCACCACTAGTGCCAAATTCTCACTCTCTGCCTCACTGGAGCCCAACTCCTCCAACTTGAAGCCCATCATATATGGACTACCATCTTAGCAAGAACCCATAACCTGCTACCTACAACTAGTATAGTTAGGTAAATATAGTCAATTATTTAAATCACTTTTCCCAACCCTCAGCTATAGTAAGACCAAGGACAAATCACCAATTGATACACTGAATCTAAAACGAATATCTGCTAAATGTTTGAGTAAAAAATAGCGAGGGCAAGATGTACCCAACCTAACTTCCATTTCTGGAGAGGTGGTTTATGTGACTCGAACTTGCACTATGGAGGCTAACAGCAAGCCTTACATTGGGTCAAGCTGCCCTAAAATTTAAAAAAAAAGAAAAAAGAAAAGTTCTTTCTTCCATTTGTATGAATGCTAGGAAGTCAAAAAAATAAGCAATAAGCATAACTAAAGGGGGTCTCAAGAAGGATGAGAATTGACAAGAATACGAGAAAATAAACTATATGTATTAGTGAGAAGTAAAGAGTAGAACTAGTAGAGGAGAAGATGAGGAAAAGTTGGTGATGGGGAATGTAAAGGCATTTTTAATTAAGATTTTATTTCTTAGTATTTGTTTGCTTATGGAATTTTATTAGCCTATATATATATGTTCAGCTAAGTCAATTAGACGACAATCACACTTCAATTAATCCCTGCGTGCTGCTGGCCAAGGCTGTGGCATGCTGGCCAAGGCTGCGGCCTGAGCTACAGCATGCTGGCCAAGGCTGCGTGCTGCTGGCCAAGGCTGCGGCCTGTGCTGCAGTATGCTGGCAAAGACTGTGGCATGCTGACGTATAAATAGAATAAAATTACACCAAAAAATAAACAACTTAATTGAACGAGATCTTAAACATAGTTGTGCAAAATCATATGTTTGCCCTTATATTCGAATGCTCTGCATCAGTTAGATGCATCTCATTGGCTAAATGCACCACACCTTTATTTCTTTAAAACAAAGTTTTAAAAACTAGTTGGAACCACTTGGTTCAATTGAAAAACCGAGAACTGCTCCAAGAAATGATTCAGATGAAACCCTAAATTGTTCCAATGTGAAAACTGTTCTCTCCTTTGAGGTGACTGACGTACTGGAATGAACCGTACAGAAAATACAAGACCATAGCAGCCACTCTACCTCAGACAGAGAAACAGGGTCTCTATGATACCATTATGCTGCCACATAACTGAGTATCAACTGATTTTTATAAAATTGCCATTCACACCCTGGAGACAGGAAACTGCCCCCTATGCAAGGCCAACAAATGCAGTATGTACCTTGTTCTCAGAATTAGACACCAAGGCCATAACAGAGGTGGTCTTGCGGACAGACCTGTATCACCTCAACCAACCCCTCAATCAAAGTTGTCCCTGAACACACAAGACATGATGCATTAATGCCAATTTGGGTGAAAAGCAAGGGGCAGAGAGTTCAAGTACAGCACGCATCTGCATGATCTGGGTGATTGTTTGGCAGACCTTGGAATCCTCGGGTTCCATGGTTAAGTAGATAGGCCCTGTTTCGTGCAGCTTATGGTGCTACTGCTTATAACTTTTTTATTTCAGAAAAATGTGTCAGCGTTTGGTGCAGCTTCGGCTTACAACTTATGGGGTTGAAATAACTTATGTATAAGTTGAAAAAAACTGATCATTAGAAAAGTAGGAAATGAGTGCTTTTAACTTCTCCTTTTTTATTATTAGATTTCAGCTTGCAAGAAGTTGCACCAAATGGGCCCATAGTGATGCAGGGCTGCAGGTTGCGACTTGGCAATCCTAGAGAGGGAGAAGAGAGATCTTTAGTGTCTTGCGCTCGTCATCCACAATGACTGAATCTGTAGAACACCTGACATAGTTGCCTTTGGCACCAGAGGTGGCTAGTTACATCTGTCATGTGTGCCTGGTTTACTATTTGTCACTGCACACCTAGACTACATATCCTGGTCAATTTTGCCTACTTGGCCCACTGTTACTGGTCACTGTAGATGTGATTCCTATTTTTGCAGGACAATCTGCCTCTTTGGGCAAAAAGTCAGCTTGACTATGAGTGCCTCCAAAGCTGTCTTGGTGCCTCGTGTATTGAAAAGCTTGCCAATCAGCACTTTGGGCATAAAGTCGGCCTCGACTTCCGAAGCTGCTCCTTGGTGTGACTCTTGGATTGAAATCACCACTAGTGCCAAATTCTCACTCTCTGCCTCACTGGAGCCCAACTCCTCCAACTTGAAGCCCATCATATATGGACTACCATCTTAGCAAGAACCCATAACCTGCTACCTACAACTAGTATAGTTAGGTAAATATAGTCAATTATTTAAATTACTTTTCCCAACCCTCAGCTATAGTAAGACCAAGGACAAATCACCAATTGATACACTGAATCTAAAACGAATATCTGCTAAATGTTTGAGTAAAAAATAGCGAGGGCAAGATGTACCCAACCTAACTTCCATTTCTGGAGAGGTGGTTTATGTGACTCGAACTTGCACTATGGAGGCTAACAGCAAGCCTTACATTGGGTCAAGCTGCCCTAAAATTTAAAAAAAAAGAAAAAAGAAAAGTTCTTTCTTCCATTTGTATGAATGCTAGGAAGTCAAAAAAATAAGCAATAAGCATAACTAAAGGGGGTCTCAAGAAGGATGAGAATTGACAAGAATACGAGAAAATAAACTATATGTATTAGTGAGAAGTAAAGAGTAGAACTAGTAGAGGAGAAGATGAGGAAAAGTTGGTGATGGGGAATGTAAAGGCATTTTTAATTAAGATTTTATTTCTTAGTATTTGTTTGCTTATGGAATTTTATTAGCCTATATATATATGTTCAGCTAAGTCAATTAGACGACAATCACACTTCAATTAATCCCTGCGTGCTGCTGGCCAAGGCTGTGGCATGCTGGCCAAGGCTGCGTGCTGCTGGCCAAGGCTGTGGCATGCTGGCCAAGGCTGCGTGCTGCTGGCCAAGGCTGTGGCATGCTGGCCAAGGCTGCGTGCTGCTGGCCAAGGCTGTGGCATGCTGGCCAAGGCTGCGTGCTGCTGGCCAAGGCTGTGGCATGCTGGCCAAGGCTGCGTGCTGCTGGCCAAGGCTGTGGCATGCTGGCCAAGGCTGCGTGCTGCTGGCCAAGGCTGTGGCATGCTGGCCAAGGCTGCGTGCTGCTGGCCAAGGCTGTGGCATGCTGGCCAAGGCTGCGTGCTGCTGGCCAAGGCTGTGGCATGCTGGCCAAGGCTGCGTGCTGCTGGCCAAGGCTGTGGCATGCTGGCCAAGGCTGCGTGCTGCTGGCCAAGGCTGTGGCATGCTGGCCAAGGCTGCGTGCTGCTGGCCAAGGCTGTGGCATGCTGGCCAAGGCTGCGTGCTGCTGGCCAAGGCTGTGGCATGCTGGCCAAGGCTGCGTGCTGCTGGCCAAGGCTGTGGCATGCTGGCCAAGGCTGCGTGCTGCTGGCCAAGGCTGTGGCATGCTGGCCAAGGCTGCGTGCTGCTGGCCAAGGCTGTGGCATGCTGGCCAAGGCTGCGTGCTGCTGGCCAAGGCTGTGGCATGCTGGCCAAGGCTGCGTGCTGCTGGCCAAGGCTGTGGCATGCTGGCCAAGGCTGCGTGCTGCTGGCCAAGGCTGTGGCATGCTGGCCAAGGCTGCGTGCTGCTGGCCAAGGCTGTGGCATGCTGGCCAAGGCTGCGTGCTGCTGGCCAAGGCTGTGGCATGCTGGCCAAGGCTGCGTGCTGCTGGCCAAGGCTGTGGCATGCTGGCCAAGGCTGCGTGCTGCTGGCCAAGGCTGCGGCATGCTGGCCAAGGCTGCGTGCTGCTGGCCAAGGCTGCGGCATGCTGGCCAAGGCTGCGTGCTGCTGGCCAAGGCTGCGGCATGCTGGCCAAGGCTGCGGCCTGTGCTGCAGTATGCTGGCAAAGACTGTGGCATGCTGACGTATAAATAGAATAAAATTACACCAAAAAATAAACAACTTAATTGAACGAGATCTTAAACATAGTTGTGCAAAATCATATGTTTGCCCTTATATTCGAATGCTCTGCATCAGTTAGATGCATCTCATTGGCTAAATGCACCACACCTTTATTTCTTTAAAACAAAGTTTTAAAAACTAGTTGGAACCACTTGGTTCAATTGAAAAACCGAGAACTGCTCCAAGAAATGATTCAGATGAAACCCTAAATTGTTCCAATGTGAAAACTGTTCTCTTTTTGCAAAATTATCTAAACTCACAATTCAACTGATCACTCATTTGAACTGTTCACAATTCACATTAACTAAAAGATTTACGAGTTGTGTATATTTTGTTATCGTTAGGGACAATCAAATCCAATTTATTCAATGCCTTATTCCTCAGCTTTGTGTCTCGCTCTCCATCATCTCAGTCTGACGAGGCAACAACCTAACATCAAACAATTGTCAATGGAAACATTCTTTCCTTCTCTAGCAGTGACTAAATTGCTACTCTGCTGCTACATCTATCTCCTTCATCTCAGCCTGATGAGCTGAATTGGCATAGCTTTCGTATGAGAAAATCATCTCTAGACTCCCTGGAAATGTCAATCCAAGGACTAGACAAAACTTACAGCTTTCCAGGCCATTTCTGCATCAACGAGGCAGAGTTCAATTAGCATAGCAGTAGTGGTCATAAGCCTGTGTGGGAGAAACAAAATCTAATCAAATTCAGGCTCTATTTTGCAAGTGATTAAAATAGTCAAAAACTAAAAAACCACCTTATATTTTAGCAAAACAACCACTAAAAAAATCACTTCCTAAACAAACCTCGGCACATCCACAGCAAGAAAAAAATATCAGTTAATATGCAACTACTTCGACAAAACCACTTACAGACAGTTGACAAATGTGAAAATTGGGTTACACCAGGGAACTCCTTTAAATAGTTCTATAAAACAAATTACAAAACTGTTTCTTGAACAAAAGAGATTCAAAAGCAAAGGCAATTGGATCACCTGTCCTAGGCTCATAGCCTA